ACACACACACACACACACACACACACACACACACCAATGTCATGTCCTATTAGGGTGTTGAAGACTAGCTGGACAAATTTGCTGCTATATGCTTAATGCCACTTCTGAAATGTCAAGGTGGATTGTGGTTCAGTTATGGTCTGCTTTACCTGAGAAATCAGCCTATTATGCTTGTACTCAACTACTATAAACAACAAGCCATTGAACCTCAATCTTAAAACATCATTCTTAGTGTATTCTCCTCACAATGAGGTCACATTTCAATAAGACAGGTTGGGTATCCCTTATCTGAAATGTTGAGGATCAGATTTTGTATTTTCAGATTTGAAAAAAAAAGTTTCAGATTTTGGATTTTTTCAAATTTGTGGAATATTTGCAGAAGGCATACCAGTGGTGCATTCCTAATCTGGAAATCCAAAATCTGAAATGCTCCCATGAGCATTTCCTTTGAGCATGATGTTGGTGCTCAAAAACTTTTGAGTTTTGGAGCATTTCAGATTTTGGATTTTTGGATTAGGGATGCTCAGCCTGTAATGATGATTAAGATTAATAAAGATCATAAGAATGATGATGATAAAGTAAAGAATGAAACACAATCATTGTCAACAATTATTTAGCACATAAAATGTCTCTGGTCTTATGCTTATATTACCATGTCCTTTAAATTTCAGAACACTCTTTTTAGAATGTATTTTTCTCTTTTTGCTCTTATAGGAAATATTTAGCACATAAAATGTCTCTGGTCTTATGCTTATATTACCATGTCCTTTAAATTTCAGAATACTCTTTTTAGAATATATTTTTCTCTTTTTGCTCTTATAGGAAATGCTGAAAAGACTAAGAGCTTAAGCTCTGGAATTAACTGTATAGACTTCAATCCTGACATTACAACAAATTAATGGATCACCTTGGAGAACTTACCTTACTTTTCTTTCTTGTCTGTAAAAACTGGAAAATATCCCCACCTTATAGGTTTTCTTGTGAGAAGTAAATAAAATAAATACATATAAACTGCTTACTTACAACAGCACCCAACCATAAGTAAATTCTCAAAAAAATTTGCTCTGATTATGCCAGTTTTTATGAAAAAATCATTTTGAAATGACAAAATTCATCACTTTCTATTATACTTGACATGACTAAAGTCTTAGTGGAGAGAGTAAAACATTGTCCTACCTGTGTATCCAGTTTTGCAAACACAGTTGAAGGTTCCTGGAAAATTCTGGCAGACGGCACCATTCCTGCAAGGACTGGACAGGCACTCATTGATATCTCTCTCACAGGCCCTACCAGTGAAGCCATCTGGGCAGCTGCATGAAAATCCTCCCACTAAATTGTGACAGGTCCCACCATTGTGGCAAGGAGATGGAAGGCATTCATCTATATCTATTTCACAAAAGCTACCTGCATATCCTGGCAGACACTTGCATAAGAAAGGCTGCAGAGGTTCATTTGCCACAATGATGACTGGAAGACTCTCTTGGCTCTTCAATTCAGAGCTCACAGCCAGTCTTCTTATACAGCTCCCCCCATTCTGACATGGGCCATGAATGCATGAGTCATGATCCACAGATTCTACCTTTACCCCACTCTGCCGGAAAAGGATCTCTTTGATGCTTTCAAAGAAGGTGGCTACACCACCAGGATTAACATACTGATTATTATTTCGTTTCACAGCTGCCAAAAGAAATGTTCTATTGTTCTCTCCATATGCACCATAGAGTTGTACAGCAGTCCCTAGGCCTGCAAGCTGTGAACTGGCTATGCGTAAGAAATGAAGGTAGTGGTTAGTCAAGAAGTCCTTTACTGTTGGCACACCAAGACGAAGTAAGATGCTGTTATCCACTGTAGCATTGGAAAATCCAGCAAAGAAAACTCGGATATTGCTTGTGACTGTGCTGTGCACTCCATCATTGCTAAGGACAGTCAGATCAAACGTGCCATCTGTGGACCTTGGCTGGGAATTCAGGTCACAAGTGCCCCCTGGAATATTGAAGAGGCTTGTGACTCCCGACATAAGGGAGCAGTGGAAGCTGTCTAACACATCCGGATCCTGTGGCTTCACAGAGCCCAAAATCCCACCAGGGAACAAGTTGCCATAATAATTGACAAATATTTCCACCGTTCGAGACTGTGAAGGATTGTCATTTTGGTCTATAACTGTGATGTGCACAGTTCCTGTGGAAGACATTTGAGGGACACCAGAATCCCTAGTGACCACAGACAGATAGAAGTCTGCAATCTGCTCTCTGTCAATCTCTCTGGTTGTGCTCAGAACTCCACCAGTGTTCAGACTAAAATAATTGGTGGCAGGGCCTGTGGTCAGCAGATAATAGGTAAAAGGGCCTTGATTTGGAGGGAGATCAGGATCAGTGGACTGAAGGGTCATCACCAGAGTTCCTGGGCGTTTGTTTTCCATAACTTCTCCTTCATTGATGGTTAGCATGGGCCCATTATCATTTATATCTTCCAGGGTGACTAATAAGGAAGCACTTCCAGTAGCTGAGGGGGTCCCTGAATCAACAGCCAAAACTGTGAGATTATAGATAGGTAGTGTTTCTCGATCTAATTCTGCAGTAACGGTGATCTGTCCTGTTTGTGGATTAATGGAAAAGGCACCATTTTCATTCCCTGATCCGATGAAGTAAGAAAACCTGCTCCAGCTGGGGATGGAGTCTGAGTCAAAGGCACTGACAAAGGTCACATGAGTTCCTGTGGGGACCCCTTCACTGATCTGAACACTGTAGATGTTTAGACTAAAAATGGGTGGGTCATTGGCATCAAGCACGGTGATATTTACAGTGACCTCATCTATATCTGCACCCCTAATGCTTCCAAAATTTTTGGCCAATACCTTCAAAGACACCCTTTCTTCTTTTTCTCTATCAAGAAGTCCAGAAACATAAATTTGTCCAGTCTTTTTACTGACCTGGAAACCCTTCTTTCGACTGTTACCAAAAAGCAAATAGTGTACCTCCCCATCAGTGCCCAAATCACGGTCACTGGCAAACACTTCTCCAACAATGGTACCTCTAGGAGCTGCCTCTGAAATTTCAAAATAATAAAGTTTGGAAACAAAACGAGGCACATATTCATTTGTCCCTTTTAATTGTATGTTAATAGTGGCAAAGCTACACCTTTCTTCATCTGGGACATTGAAGGCTTTTACAGTAAGATGGTAACTCTGCTTGGTTTCAAAATCCAAGAAGCCTTGAGTGGTGATGACTCCTGTATTAGGGTCAATGACAAAGAGGTCACTGTCAGATGACTGTACTGTATATGCAATCACAGCGTTTGTTCCAGAGTCAGCATCTGTTGCATTTAGGTGGATAACTGTTGTCCCACTTGGGGCATTTTCCAAAACAGCAGGAAAATATTCATCAGGAAGGAATACTGGAGAATTATCATTCACATCAATCACATTTATGGTCACACTGCAGTAGCCGGTTCTTGCAACCCATCCTCCATCGGTAGCACTAATAGTTATTTCATGTTTCTGGCATAGCTCATAATCAAGGGCTTTGGCTAGTGTTAATACACCAGTGGAAGAATTGACTGCAAAAATGCCATCTTCATTTCCTGAAGAAATGCTGTACCTAATCAAGCCATTCATAGCTGCATCTCTATCTCGTGCAGAAACAGTTCTGACAATGGCCCCAATACTATGACTCTCTGGGATGGTTGCACTCATGTGGCTTTGAGAGAATTCGGGTGTATGGTAGTTTTCCTCAGTGACAGTTATTTGAACAGTTGCTTGGGATGAAAGTGGAGGGTTTCCTTTATCCTTTGCAGTGACCGTGATCAAAAAGTTTTGATTCAAGTCAGAAATCAGGGATGATGCTACTGAAATCCACCCTGTATCATTGTCTAACTTAAATTTTCCTAAATGATTTTCATTAGAAATAAAATACTCCACTTCAGAATTCAATCCAAAATCTTTATCATCTATTGCAGTTACTTTGATTAAATTTGTACCAACTTTAACATTTTTGGTGACTGGAGTAAAATATTTAATTTTAAGAAATTGAGGTGCATTATCATTACTGTCCACTGTGTTGATGGTAACTGTTGTCTCACTAAGTAAGGAAGGATTACCTCGATCTGAAGATGTCACTACAAAACTATGCCGGTTGATGTTCGCATTGCTGATGCCACTGATGTTTTGGTATTTTAAGACCTGTTTATTGAAAATCTCTCCGGTGGTGGCATTAATTCTGAAATATTCTGACTGAGATTTTATAAAATAAAACACTTGTCCATTTGATCCCTCATCGGGATCTGTTGCAGATACCTGAGTCACTTTGGAGCCAATCTCAGTAAGTTCAGGGCAATCTAGATAATAGGAAGGTCTGCTAAATCTTGGAGCATTGTCATTGACATCTGTCACAAATATTGTGACATCTGTACTTACAGTCCACCCAGAATCATGTGCAGAAACTCGGATTCTGTAACGGTCCGTATCTTCCCTATTTAAAGGTCTACTAATGATGATATCCCCTGTGCTAGGATTAATTGTAAATGGAAGACTTGTGTCCATTATTGAATATCTACTAATTGCATTTACACCAATATCTTCATCAGAAGTTGTGACACGTGTAACTGTATATCCTAAGGGGGAATTTTCAGGAACGTGAGCACTAAATATTTGAGAAAACCTAGGGGCATTATCATTTTCATCTAAAATATTAATGATGACTTTTACTGAGGTACTCTGAGAAGGTGTTCCTTTGTCAGAAGATTTTATGGTGAGCACATAATGTGATATTTTTTCCCTGTCTAAAGGTCTAATGCTTCTAATTTCACCAGTAGCATGATTAATACTGAAACTATTTTCTTTGTTGCCGTTAACAATTTCATAATCTAGCTGTCCATTGGGTCCACTGTCCATGTCCATTGCTGAAACAGTAAGTATTTTTCGAGGAGAAAGGTTTTCCAATATTTGAGAAACAAATGGATCTTCCTTAAAAATTGGAGAATTGTCATTGACATCTAATACTGTTATGTCAAGTTTCTCATAAGAAGAGAAAGGAGGAAAACCTCCATCTCTTGCCTCTATCCATATAACATATTTCTGTATCTTTTCAAAATCCAGAGGTTGATTAATCGATACCTGCCCTGTTAATTGATCAATTTGAAAAGTATTGCCAAGATTCCCACTTGCAATATAATAGGACAAAGGTTCTCCTCTCACTGAGGAGCCTGAGACGGTGGTGACAAGAGTGCCTACTGGTTGGTTTTCAGGAAACATGAATGTTTGTTCTTTGGCTCTGACTTTAGGGAAATCTGCCTTGTTCACAAATCTAACAGTCACTGTTGTAGAATCCGTCTTTGGAATTAAGCCACCATCTTTTACATGTACAGAAAATGTCACTTCTGAAGCTCCATTTAGTGGTCCAGCTGCCATAATAGCTCCCCTCAGTGGGTCAATGTGAAATTTTTCAGAGTTTCTACCCGAAAGAGAATAATGCAGTTCAGAATTGGGTCCAATATCAGCATCTGTGACTGTAACTGCAAAGACAAAGGAACCTATAAGAGAAGGAGAGTGTAGTTATAATCACGTGGAATCCTAATAAAACATTTGGTCATAGGTTAATGCATATAAAACACTATATTGCTGCCCAATGTAACTTTACTTTCTCAAGATTATTGGGAAGAACAGTATCTCCTATATTTCCTCTGAAGTTCTCGAGTCAAATCTGTTTTAGGATAGTCTTCAGAGACTGACCTGTCATTTCCTAACTAAAACCTGTACAGTCCATTGGCTTGTTGGATTTAATATTTTTCATTATTCCTTTGAGAGAAGCACAGGGAAGAGAACTAGCTAATCATTAGGAATCATAGCTGCCAGGAGAAAAATCTGCACATACAGCATTCCAAAATACATGATAATATGTGAGCTCTGCAAAGAGCTATGCTTCTAGGGCCGGCCCGGTGGCGCACTGCTACAGTGCGCCGCTTGAGAGTGCAGCGGCGCTCCCGCTGAGGGTTCGGATCCCACATACAGACCTGTTCCCGCTCACTGGCTGAGCGAGGTGCGGGCGCAACACCGAGGGTTGCGATCCCGTTGCCGGACACGAAAAAAGACAAAAAGGAAAAAAAAAAAAAAAGAGCTATGCTTCTACCTAATTTAAAGAAAAAATGAAATCATTGTTCTATTATTCTTAAAATACCTTTGAATTATTATATATGTACTCATGTCAACAAATATATTTTTAAAAAATTACTGTTGATTCCTTATATCCACTGTCTCATGGAAAACTTTGTCTGTAAGCTGTTAACTTAATACAGTTAACTTACTTTGGATTTTGGTGGTTGGGGCCCCTAACTCCAGCTTTTTTCAAGGGCCAACTCTATATGCATATGTCTGTGTGTGTGTGTGTGTCTGTGTGTGTGTATGCATAAATCAGTTAAAATAATTATAAAGTAGTAAGAAATAAGTAGTGTGGAGGAATGGACTCAATTTGGATTCTAAAAGTTAATGTTTGGAATGAGTGCCAATGGAACAGATTGTAGTAGAAATATACAGAAAACTGCCATAAGGATGTATTTTCAATACACTGTATAGTCATTCAGAAACCCTTCTATATTGCACCACAGGTTGTAGGTTGGATGCAATTAGAATCATGCCTGCCAGCATCATTTCACCTAAACACATTCATCAGAGATTTATGACTTTGATATTGACATTTCCTCTTGATAGAAAGTTGGCACATACATTTATACATTTTATACTTCCAATTGGTATCAATTAGACATTCTCAGGTTAAAAAAAATCAAAGATCAGTGAGAGGAATACTGGATCTATTTACTTCTTCTGACAATTTAAAATATTTTCAAGGAAAGACTAAAGAAATTATGAGCTATATTTATATATTTTCCCATTTAAAAACTAATTGAAAAATTACAAATGGCAGAACATTTGTGCAGTTCTTATGAGAATATACCATTCTTTGCAAATAAGCAAATAATACCGAACTAAACTTAAAAGAGATGCAGAAAGATAACTGCATATTGTCAATATGAAAGTGGTTCATAATTGGTTCCATGAGCTAACAGAAAAACCTTCATCCACCAAAATAGGAATAAAAATAAATATTAATTACAATTATTCATTCATTAAACATTTTTGAAAATCTATCTATATAGGATTAAAGTAAAATATTCATTTTTCTATCACCAAATATATTTGAATGCCTATTACCTCCCAGATAACGTTTCAGGTGCTGGAATATGGCTTGAAAAATAGAGACATCCCTCCTTTCAGGGAACTTACACACTAATTACACCTCAGGGCAGAACCATCTTTGACTATGAAGTGATATCTATTTTAATCATTTATAATACTGAAGTAATATTAATAAATGGTAATTGTAAAAATGTGGCAATTACAAAATCTTATACACAATTGGCCTGAGAAGAAAGAGTTCATTTATGAGATTCAAAGTTTCTTCAGTTTTATCATACAAAACAACCTAAATTTTATGGGATTTGCAAAATTAGACTATAACAGAAATATATATGTAAAAATAACATAAATGTATTTATAGAAAATATCCAATACATAGTTTGCATATACCCATGTGGTCTCAGTTGGTTTGATTACCTGGAAGAGTAGGAGATGGGATGTGTGTGACATATGGGTGATGCTGAAATCTTGGTGGATTGTCATTGACATCAGTCACAGTGACGAACACACTGGTGGAACTGGAAAGAGGCTCTGGGGATCCAGCATCACTGGAGACAACTACTAAAGTATAATTATCTTTCATTTCCCTGTCTAACAGTGCACTGGTGATGATTTGTCCTGTGGATGGGTTGATGGTGAACTGAGAGTTTCCACCAATGATCCTATAACTAAAGCAGAAGCAGAGATAGGCATATTTCTCATAGATTTAATATTGTAATATCTATTTACTATAAGTTAAAAACTGAGGTAGAAACATAAAAATAATACAAGTAAGATCACACAACAATGAAAGAAAGAATTTGGCTAGAAGGTAAACACTTCAAATTTTATGCGAATATTACATTGATAGTCTTTTTTGTCGGATGTCCAATGAATTCAAGTAGGTCTCTGCAAGGTTTTCAGGACTCCAATCATGTAAGGCCCCCAAATTAACCCAGAAGACTACTGTTATAAATAAATGATCCTGAAGACATAAATCAGGGCTTTGTTGTGATATTGTGATTAGTGGCTGGGATCACAAGTATATTTAAATGAAACTAAAAGTTATTTTTCTGCTGTATACCATATTAAACTGAGAAGATTTGTTGAAAATCTTATTCGTTAAGGACAAAACACGGTATTTGACATATATTGGCTATCCAGAACAAGTAAAGAACTGATTATGTATACAGAGACATTCCTAGTTACTAAGTCTCTCATTCGTCATTCCTCATATGGTTATGTTGAAATTTGTCAGGAGAGGTATGACATCTTCATGGATATTTTGATGCTAACCAGATTGGTTAATGGGCAGGATTTTCCACTGAGAATAGCTTCTCTCTTTTTTTCTGAAGTGTAAAGCTAACTCTATATATTCCTGATTTTGTGTCTGAGTTGGGGGTCCAGAGATCAGCTAAGAAAAAGTAGCTAAGCTTGAAGGTTCAAAAATCAGCTGTAGTCCATAATTTTTAAAGCTGGAGTGTAGCAAGGAAATGGGTGTCTTTTAATTTTTTTTAAATACCAACAAAGAGATAGATAGCCTTGGAGTTAACCACATGTTTCTATAGTTTGGTTTGTGTCCATATAAACATAGCAACAGCACATGTCTAATAGCAACTTCACACACACACACACACACACACACACACACACACACACACCTACATTGCAGCCAGTAGCGTGCACATTCCTCCTATAGTGCACACAGCTTAAAACAAACATTTCAGCACTTTTACCCTATTATAGTACAATTACAAACTACTGAGGAGCTACTATTTAACAAGAATAGAGGTCCTATAAAATGATAGCAAAATAGAAAAATCATAGACAAGAGGTTTGGTTGAGAACCGACTTCAGTATTGATAATGTAATTGGTATCACTTATATTTCTAACACTTTTTGCCACACCCACATGCCAGAATCAGGAATGAAAGAGAATAGCACTGACTATATTTCTTGCACCAGAAGTGACTCTTTGTAAACTGTAATTACTGCCCTCATACAGTAGATGATATCTGTTCCCTTTATCAAAATAAAAATATCAGAGTTTTATATTCAGGACTCATGGAATTATCAAATTACCTGCATAATTTAATCCAAGGAACTTGGTGATGGAGTTTGGATGTGTTCTCCCCTCCAAAAATCACGTGGAAATTTAATCCCCAATGTGGCAGTATTGGAAACTGATTGAGTCATGGGGACGGATCCCTTATGAATGGATTAATGCTCTCCCTGGGGGAGGGGGGGGGAGTTAGTGAGTGAGTTCTCGCTCCATTAGTTCCCATGAGAGCTTGTTTAAAAGACCCGGGCACTTACTCTTTCTCTCTTGCTTCCTGTCGCCATGT